CATGGTGTCTTGTTTTAATTTGTAAGTCTGTGATTGTGAATGTGGTTGAGCATCCTTTATAGGCCATTGTGTTTTTTCCTTTGTGAAATGTCTGTCTGTGTCTTTTACCAATTTTACATAGGGTATTTGTCTTTTTCTTATTGACTTGTAGAAGTTTTAATACAGTCCCTATTCCTTTGCAGTTCCTTAATCCTGTGTTGGTTATATGTGTTACAGTTATTTTATCCCTGTCGTGCATTGTCTTTTTAGCCTTTATGGTGTCTTTTTTTCCCCAGCCATCTTAAAAAAGAAAAGGCAGTTTTGTTAAGGTATTATTGACATATAGTAAATGACATAGTTACAAGAGTACAAGTTGATGAGTTTTAGTATATGTCTGTACCCGAGAAACCAGCACCACAGTTGAGGTGATGAACATATCATCCTCAGAAATTTTCTCCTGCCCCTTGGTCATCCATCTCTCCCTCCCGCAACCCCCAGTTCCCAGGCAGTGTCTGATCAGCTTTCACTCGCTATGGATTGTTTCGTCCCTTCTTTCGTCAGACTTCGCTCACGCAGCATGATTACACTGGGACTCATCCATGTGGTTGCTCTTATCATATTGGCAGTTTGTTCCTTTTTGTTACAGAGCGATACTCTGTTGTATGTATCGACTGCGGTTTGTTAATGCATTACCTGTTGATTGACAGTTGGAGTATTTCTAGTTCTTGGCTATTGCAATTAAACCTGCTGTGAACATTTGTGTACATGTCTTTCTGTGGATACATACCTTTATTTCTCTTACATAAATACCTGGGTCACATGTGAAGTACAAGTTTAATTTTTTCTTTTTTTTTGGCAGCTGGCCTGTTTGGGGATCTGAACCCTTGACCTTGGTCTTATAACACCTAACACTAACCAGCTGAGCTAACCAGCCAGCTCTAAGTGTATATTCAGTCTTTAAAGACACTGCCAAACTATCTTCTCAAGTGGCTGTACCATTTTACATTCCCACCAGCAGTGTATTGAGTTCCAGTTGCTCCACCTTTTTGCTGATGCTTGGTATGGTTGGTTTTTAAAATGTAAGCCATCCTGCTGAGTGTACTTCCCTCATGGCCAGTGATGTTGAGCATTATTTCATGTGCTTATTTGCCATCCGTGTCTTTTTTGATGAAGTGTCTTGAGTCTTTGCTCATTTTTAATTGTTTGATGGTTTTCTTATTGAGTTGTAAGAGTTTTTTATGTCATGTAGATACGAGAGTACTTCAAAAAGTTCCTGAAAAGATTCATGTTATCTTTTATTTCTATTTTTCCATGAACATTTTTGAAGTAACCTCACACAAGTCTTTTGATGGCTATTTATCTTGTTAATATTTTCTCTTCATCTGCAGCTTGCCTTTTTTCAAAAAATTGTGGTAAACACATAGTTCTGCCCTGTTAGCACTGTTTGAGTGTATATTCTAATGCAGTATTGTTAAGCATGTGCTCATTACTGTGTGGCTCAAACTCTGTACCCATTGAACAAATCCTGTAGCTTGCTTTTTAAAGAACAGGGTTTTTGGGGGGTTTTTGTTTGTTTTGTTTTGTTTTTCGGTATTTCGGTGAAGTTTAGTTTATTAACTTTTAAAATATTTCTTTTGTGTTATATTTAAGAGATCATTACCAAACATAAGATCACTAAGATTTTCTCCTATGATTTCTTTTAGATGTTTCATAGTTTTATCTCTTACATTTAGACCTGTGATATAAATCAAGTAAAGTTTTGTATATGGTATGAGGTAAAGGTCAAAGTTTATTTGCAAATTATTTGCGGATGGCTGTCCAGGTGTTTGAACACTTGTTAGTTTGCTGGAGCTGCCATTACCACAGACCGGCTTAGGCCTAAACAACAGAAAGGTATTTCTTCACAGTCCTGGAGGCTGGAAGTCCAAGATCAGGGTGCTGGCATGGCTGATTTCTTCTGAGGCCTCTCTCCGCTGTGCCTATGTCCTAACCTCTTCTCCTAATTGGGACACCATTGAGATTGGATTAGGGCCCAACCCAGTGCCTCATTTAATATTAATTGCCTCTTCAAAGACCCTGTTACACACTCTTCTTCACCCCGCTTTTTTCATTTAATAAGCCTGGAGTTCATTCTGTGTTAGAACATAGAGGCATCACAGCTGCAGGACTCCATAGGTAGATGTGTCATAATTTGACTAGTCCCCTACTGACAGACATGTGGGTCATTCCCAGATTTTTGCTATTACAAGTCATCTTGTAATACGTCTTGACTTGTAATACTTCTTTTCTTATTTTTACAGTGTATCTGTGAGATAGATCCCTAGAAATGAGATTGCTGGGTCAAAGGTTAAATTTATATTTCATTTTCTGTGGTGGCTATTTTTTAAGCCGCTATTTTTTAAAAAAAATCATTTTTTAACAAACTGACATTCTCAAGGAATCAGTGGCAAGGTCTTTGAATGTTTCTCTGCTGTTAAAATTTGTTTCTCTTTTTGAACATGTTTTTTATCAGTAACATGAAACTGTACATGGTTTTGCCAGTGTGTTTTGGAAACAAAACGAAACAAAAAAAGTGTGGTCAGAAGCTTCCTTCCGCTCTGGAGAGAGCTCGTTTACTGCTGCTCCTCAGCTGCCAGCAGATGCCGCTGGTGGCGCGGGTGCTTCTCTGCAGCGTGGGGCCTGGATGGCTAGCAGAGGGGTTTTTAGACCACCTCTCCCTCTCCCTAAGGGAACACAACCCACAGGGAAGTTCCAAGGGGGAACTCCAAAGGGAGGGTAAAGCCACGCTTTTTGGTAGAAGCTCCTCCTTTCGGTCCACGGAAAGGTTGCTAGAACTCTGTGTCTTGCTCTGAGGCTCGCTAGTTTGTTTCCCACTAACATTGTGTTTCCTCTTCCCCACCCCTTCCTTTTTAGCAGTCTACAATCCATCTACCTTAATCTGTCATTTATCTCTTCTTTTGTAATTAGATCATTTTACTTTAGACACAAAAACTGGACTAGATTCCAGGTGGTTGGGTGTATAAAGTCTGGCAAATTGGGTTCGGTGGTTATTTCTCCCGATCTTCACTCCCCATGAAGAGATACGAAGGGACTCTCAAGGTGTGCCTGTGAAATCCAAAGTCTTAGCCTCCCTGGTTCTTGATCTAATTTGTATTTGATTCTTCCCTCCTTGAAACAACGCATTTGACTTCTGGTGCCAGCACTTGTCTGGCCCCCGTCACTGGCCTCTCCTTGATGTCTTGTGCTGTCCCTGCTTCCTCTCCCCACTCCCCAATGTCAGCACACACTTGGTAACAGCACGTGGCTCTCTTCTGGATCAGGGTTTCTCAACAGGTGTTACTGGCATTTTGAGTGAAATAATTTTTCCTTGTGTAGGCCTTTATGGCAGGATGTTGAACATTCCTGGCTCCTTCCTACTAAATGGCAGTGGCATTCCCCAATCACTGTGAAAGCCCAAAAGTGGCAACCTGTATTTCCAAATGTTGTCTGGGAAATACTGCCTTAGAGGGTCCCTTCCAGGCCCCAGGGGTTATGTATGTTGTATATGCAAATAACTCCCAAATGTATATGTCCAACATCAGTCTTTCCCTTGAGTGTCAGACTCACTTCTCCAGTCACCTGCCCATCATCTCTGCGCGTCTGTTTACTAGACAGCTCAACCTTAATATGTTTAAATTAGAACTCCTACTTTCTTCTCCAACCTGTTTCTTCTCCCTTTCCATCCCACTATTAGCAGCATGATTTACTTAGTTGTTTGGGCCAAAAACACAGGACTGTTCTTGTTTCTCTTCACAGAGTACATCCACTTCACCAGCAAGCCCTGCCATTTCTACCTGCAGAGTAGATCCCAGATTTCACCATCTTCCCACTTCTACAGTTGTCACTATGGCCCCAGCTCTGTCTTCCCTTCCTGGACTGTTGGAGCACAACTTCTAAAACTGTTTACTAGCATGAAGTGCGACCAAGAGAGGAATAGTGCCGTGTAAGGCTTGTTCAGCTCAGTGAGTGGTCACAGAGAGCATCCCACATGAAGAGAGAGAAGGTCTTTAAGACTTGCTTCCATGTGTTTTCCTTTATAATTGGTGTCTTTTTTAGATTTTTATTTTCTAACTTGCTAATGTGTAGAAATATAATTCATTTATATATATTGACCCTATATTCAGCAACTTTGTCAAACTTCTTTTTCTAATAATTTATCTTTAGATTCTCTTGGACTTTGTATATGTATAAACATAGTCCCTATGAATAATGAATTTTATTTCTTCTTTTCCAGTTCTTATGCCTTGTATTTATTTGTCAGGGATTTATTAACTTTCTGTCTCTTCAAAGAACCACCTTTGGTTTTGTTGGTCTTTTGCATGTTTGCTTACTGTATTATTAATTTCCTCGGCACTCTCCCAAACAGGGAGTGCATTTCTGTATTACCCCATGTGGCCACCCTTCCGGCCATGACTTTGGCCATCTCCTTCTGTTTTTAAGCTTTCCCAATATGTCCTCAGGTCTGTTTTTATTTTGGAGCCTCCTGTATCAACAGATAAACCATGAGGCTAAGAGTTGAAATGACATTTCATGCAGCAACAACTACTAGCCTCAGATTGCTGCTGGCTTTTCTTACTATTTTTATTTTCAGTGCTGACATCTGATATTCTGTAGAATGTCAGGTCTATGGGGGCTCACAGATTTTGTAGAGTAGTCTTAAAGATCAATGGCTGACCTGTCACATACTTGAGACATTTGATAATGTCAAGCTTTTCCAACCTCAGCTCTGGTCGTATCTCTGGTTTATCACATCCAGAAAGGTTTGTGCTAAGTCTTAAAATGACAGGAAACACCATTCAGTTGGAAAATGTACTATGTTAGATTATGAGCTTTAATCAAAGTAACCAGCGGGAGTATTTTGGAAAGACAGTTTACCTCTTTTGTTTGTTTTTTTCATTTGTATGCTTTGTAGTGGTGTTTTGTTAAGATGATGATATGACATTTGTTCTGTTTGGTAATGGTTTTATTTTTTAATTTTATAGAATTAACACTGAACCCTCCAGAAGGAATTGTGGCAGGTAAGGTACTAAAGGTAACTTCTTTATAATTTACTTTTAATTGCCACAGTTGCCTCCGAAGTTAAAACTTTGTGGAATTTTTTTCTTTACCTACAGGCCCCATGAATGAAGAGAATTTTTTTGAATGGGAAGCATTGATTATGTAAGTTAATCATATATGTTATTGGTTTTACGGCTTTACTGGAAATTAGACTTAAGATCCACATTTAGCAGTCAGACTGTGCTCAGGAGTGTCAGTTGGAGGAAGAGGCCGAGTGCATCTTGAAACTTCCAGCTCTTCTCTAGTTTGCTCATCTGAAAGTAGAAAACCACCTGAACACAGATCCAGAAGGAGTGACAGTGTTTCCTTACTTAGTACAAATAAAAGGTTCTGTTGTAAATATTATGTATTCGTAGAGTATTACGATGACCATCTTTGGATATTGTGTGGTCATGGTGGATTATCCTCAAATCACATGGGTGGCTTTGGCTTCCAAAAGGCCCTAAAATCCTGAGGTTTTGACAGTAAGAAAAGGATCCTCAAAGATGGGGATGACTATACTGGCCCTGCCTTTGGGCCAGGACTTCTTTTCTTCTGCTCCTTCCCTCCCTTTGTCTCCTACACTGCTGCTGCTTTGTTTGCCATATCTGGACTTAGAGACCTTCTGTGGTTTCTGACTCTGAGACTTGGCTTAGTTCTTAGTTCTTGTTCTTAGAATTGAGTCAGTGTGGTTCCTGACCTGATCCTAGATTTCATGATATTGAGCTTACAGTGATATTGCTTGGAAAAAGAAACAAATGGACCCCCAATTCTAGAGTGTTCTGTGTCCCTGACTCAGGCCCTTTTGCTTTTCTTCTTTCTACCGTAGATTTTTAGCCATTCCTAAACTTCATATATTTTCAACAAAATGACATTAGGTAAAATTTAGGAAGTTGAATTTTATAGTCAGTCTGTTAGTTTTCTCATTATCAAAATGAGATATTTCAATTATCTAGAAAGTTTTTGGGTTGGGTTTTGTTGGATTGACAAGTGCTATAGTGGGCAGGGACTGGAGGAAGTGTGAAGGCCACTGGAGCAGGTGTGAACTGTGGCTTGACATAATTTTAAACTTCATCAGACTTTTAGAATTTGCCTATTGCTTGTATTACATTAGTTCTTAATGATCTGTGTCTTAGCCTGAGAAACCAGTTGCTGCTAAATGCTGTCTGTGGAGGTTAGATAATACATGAACATTGGTATGAAAATGAGTTTTTTTCGATAAACAAAATGTTTTTTAAAAATCATCAATAAAATATCCAGAGAGGGTACAGCAGGCCTAACATTTCTTGATAATTTGTAATACTCTAATTGCGTGGGCCTGTGGTGCATGTTTTTTCTGTGTCTACAAGTTTCTGGAATTTGTGTTTGTGTCTGAGGTGGTATTGTGTCATTCACACCCAGGCAATCATGAGATGGATGGCGAGTCCCCTGGTCAGCGCTGTGCTGCAGTCAGTGGACTGTTGTGCACTGTGTCAGGCTCAGCTCTCTTCCTTTTTAAAGAAGCAGGAGATAGTATACACGAACTGATTTGTAATCTGCTTGTTTCATCTACTAAGTCGTGTTAACACGGACACACCCGCACTCACATACACACCACCTAGAAAGAAAGCCTGTCGTGGGGTGCATGATTGCTGGGAGGCCTGCCTGAGTGCAGAGGTCAGGGCCTCTGACGGTTCTGCAGTATTTGGAAGATGCTGGCTCATGCACATCTATAGTAGACTTATTTAGAAGCTCATTAAAGGAACAGTTGAGCCTCTCAGTGTGGTTTTTAAAAAGTGTTCATTGTTAAAAATCTGTTAGGGTAACTATTACTAATTTTAGATAAACAGTATAAAATTAAACCAATATTTTGAAAACCTGTCTTAAAAAGTAATTAGGACTATTTTTAGGGAAGAGCACTTTTGTGTTTAAGTAAGGCTTTCACATTAGTGTGGAATTCCCCTGTTTCAAGATCTGGTGAGTTTGTGGGTTTTGGTTCTGTTCCAGACCCTTCACAAACAAGAGGCCGTTTACAAAAGTACTTAAAATGTCTATTAGGGAATTAACTGTCCTCCCCTTGGTTTGTCTCATCCTGCTGTTTTGGCAGACAGCTGGCTAAGTTTTTACTATCCAGTGATAGGTTTTCTTTGCTCTCTTTTATTCTCCAATGGCTTCCAGGGCCACCTCTACACCCTGGTGTTTCTGAAAACGGTGCTTGCCTGTGTGAGTCTGATGCTGGTGGCCTTTGCCATCGTGCCTGCCTGCAGGCCTTCATCTTTTCCTCCAACTTTGTGAAGAAAATGGCTTTTCCAATATTCAGGCAACAGATACTGAATGCCTTTTATATTACAGCCCTAGTCTGAGGACACACATGTCCTAGGTGAATCCAAGTCTTTACCTTGAAAGAACAGGGTTGAGAGACTAGAATGGGGAGCATAAATTAATGAATGAGAGAAGGACTAATCATAAGATTGCCATAGGCAGTTCCACATCTCTAATTAAAAGTGGAAAATAACTCTAGTGACTCTGTTGAGCTTACGGTGGAGCTTGAGCATGTGGTCCAGTAGAAGATGGCTGTAACTGCAGGTCACAGGAAGGGACATGGACCACTGTAGCGTGTGTTCCTAGCTTGGCGTTATGGTTTTGGCCCAGTCACTTTTCCTCTCTGACCTTCACTTATTTGCATCAAAACAAAGTGGTTCAGCATCCTTTGGACGAATGGCTCAGATCTCTCTCAGCTCTGAGGCCCATGGTGCATGTGACCCCTCTGCTAAGGCACAGCGTTGGGGTACAGCTGCAGGAGGGTGGGTGCCCTCTGCAATTGGAGCACTTTGTAGGACATAGAAGCCCTGAGGTACGGGAAACCTTTTCATCCTTGGTAACCAGACAAGGCATGAGTCCCTTAGAATCTTGCTGCCCTATCCTGTCTTCCTCTATCATTCTAGAAGCAGCTAGCATTGGTGACCTCCCTGTCTGGTCTGTGGCCTAACTGCTGTCACCCCTCCAAACCAGTGGGCTCTTGAGGCTGTGGTAAATGTGGTTAAATGGTTGGGGACCCTTGGTTGACTCCATCCACCGTGTTACTTTCAGTGTGTTTGGGCCCAGGTGGTGCAATGATTTTCCCAAGACTCTCTAGCTGTTGACAGCAGCAAGCTCACACACTCCCAGGCTGTTCTTCTTCTGCCAGGATGCTCTTCCCATGCTGGGTGTAAGTGTCATGGTCACAGTATCCATCCTTTATTCAAGGTTTCTTATTTACTGAAGACAGTGTCCTATGAAAATAAACCTGAAATTAAAATAGATGTTTACAATTTGTATTGTATATTCTCTGACTCAGCAATCCTCACCTTAGCAATTTCTTCAATGGAAATGTTATAAAGATCTCTAGATGAGAAAGTTTCTTGCAGCATTCATTGTGGTAATAAAAATAAGTGGAAATATCACTGTCCAGCCTAATTTATGGAACATCCATACAGCAGAATGCCATATAGCAATAAAAAAAACTCAGGTGGGATCTACCTACTGCATGGAAAGATGTGTACAATGTGTGAAGTGGAAAAGCATATGACAGAATAATAGATTTAGACCAGTGATTTCAACTGGGAATGATTGTGTCCTCCAAGGGACATTTGGCAGTGTCTGGATCATGCTTTTGGTATCTCATATAATGCAAGATTACAAAGGTTTTCTCCTGTTTTCATTTAGAAGTTTCATAGTTTATAGATCTTACATTTAGGTCTTCCATCCATTTTGAGTTTTTGATCCATTTTCATAGTTTTTGTGTATGGCATTAGGTAGAAGTCTACCTTCATTCTTTTGCAGGTGGTTTATCCAGTCATCCCAGCATTATTTGTTGAAAGTTAATCCTTTACCCATTGAATAATCTTGGCACCTTTGTCAAAAGTCAACTGATAGTAAATTCAGGGTTTATTCTTGGACTTCTAAATTCTGTTCCATTGATCTATGTCTATCCTTATGCTGGTCCTACACTGCATTGATTATTGGAGCTTTATAGTAAGTTTTAAAATGGGGAAATTTAAGTCCTTCAACTTTGCTCTTCTTTTTTAGTATTGTTTAGGCTATTCTGGATCCTTTGCATTTCACCTTGTCAATCTCTGCAGAAATGCCTGCTGGGATTTTGATAGGGATCACATTGGATCTTTAGATCAATTTGAGGAATATTGCCATTTAACAGTAATGATCACTCCAATCCATGAATGTGGAATGTCTCCCCATTTATTTAGGTTTTTAAAAATTCTGAGCAACGAAGGCTGGCTGGTTAGCTCGGTTGGTTAGAGCACAGCCTTGTCAAGTTCAAGGGTCAGATCCCTGAACTGGCCAGCTGCAAAAAAAAAAAAAAATCTCAGCAATGCTTTGATACATTTTTTATCTTAAAAAATCCAACTTTGTGGATGAGGGTATGTGAGTTCATACAGACGTTGAGAAAAACCTGGAAGAATAACCAAACTGTTCACTGTGGTTATCTCAAGGAGGTGATTTAGAAAGGGGGAGTGAGGGAGGTATTTGCTTTGCTTTGTGTTTTGTATACTTCTGTATTTGAATATTTTCCAACAGGCATATATTTTTCTAGTGAAATTAGGTCAAAGTTTATGTTATAAAAGTGATTATCTATGTTTATTTATCATAAAGTTCTTGTAATTGATGAACTTTTTTAGTGTACTTTAAATATAGTTCAGATATATTTGATTTAAAGTTTTTCAGAAATGTCTATACTGCAAAAGAGTAATTAGGGTATGGCTATAGACTCCTTTTGGACAGATTTAATCATGAAAATAATCATATAGAACAAAACGTGTATTTGCTACTATCACGACTTCCAGGAATATCAGGGTCCCTCCCTGCACTTCTTAGAATTCGTTCTTTAGATGCGAATAACCCGGGCTGCTCAGAACACACAAAAGGAAAACAGAACACAAGGGGTGTCTGGGTCCATCCCAGAGAGGCTGCCCAGAGGCAGGGTCGTGCCTTGCGGGTGAGGGTGGGGGTAAAATTACGCAGTCTTGGTTTGAGACTATCAGGTGCCTGAGGGCACTTTCCCTAAATCACAGCCTCTTACAGCCTGTGTCCTTTTGCCGGCACAAGGGTGTTCCATGAGCAGGAACCTCACCTGATTAGGTTCTCTTTAACTTCCAGATGCCTGGCACAGCGATCTACACATAGCAAGCCACCCTTTAGCCTCTGCTGGATTTGCAGGCAGGGGCCCAGGCAGTGCCACGACTTGGCAGGGCACAGCAGAGCCAGTGTGCTTGGGCTTCTGAAGTGCCTAGTTGGGGGGGCTGTGCGTACAGCCCAATCTTGGTCGCACTGCCTGTGAGTTAGTAAGGTGGCATCCCTGGCGAGCAGCTCTGCTGAGCTGTAGCGCAGAGGTCGGAGGAAGGAGGTGGTTCCCACGCTCTGACACAAGGCACCCCAGAGCAGAGGGAGTTCCCAAGGCAGTCTGGCTTTGCTTTTTATGCTCCAGGTGGTTCTGACTTAGGGGAGTACTCGTCCTTCAGTAATCCAGTTCAGGTTTTAAGTTCTAATGGAGGGATTTGCAGTCTTCATTATTCTCATACCTTGTCATCTGTATGTTTGAGTAGTTTTGTCCATGTGCTGTGACAAACTGATAAAGAGAAGGGGGCAGCAGCAAGGGCATCTGGGGACGAGCAGGCAGGTGTTGCAGTCCCATCCGGACACGCCCTGGGCACCCCTGCTGCGCTGGCCTTCCTCCTGCTTTCGTTGGCTAGAAAGTGGGATGTGAAGAACAATTTTCCTTGAGTTTAATGTTGAAAGACTACACCAGCATGTCACTGGCTTTGTGAGGGACCATGGCTGCTGGCAGGCGTGGTGACTACGCTCCAGTTTGGACATGGGTGCTTCTCTCTCAGTGTTTGCTCTCTTGCACCAAATTCACCTAGAAGACAGGAAATCAAAGTGACCACTGGAAATGTCATTTCCCATGTCGAGAGCAGTGTGGCTGTGGTGCTTTACCTGCATGCCTGTCTCAAAAGTCCTTACCTTGTAGTTCTGAGATACTTTAGGCCATTGCTTTAATCAATGAGGTGTAAAGTAATTTGCAGACTTTGCAAAATTCATATTTGCTTTGGATAAGATTGTTTTGTTTCCTTTCTTCTGGTTCTTTTTTTGTTTGAAGATTTTGACATGAGCCCATCTTTGGTGAAGGAGGTGAGGTTGTTCAGGAGCATGGCAATGAAACTCATCCAAGAACAACATCCACGACAGACATTCTGGTCCAGGAATGTCCTCGACAGTGTGTCCGTAGAGTCCGCGGGCATGCTGCCGCACATCATCGTGCCTGCGTTCCTGTGCGTGCACCAGGGCATTCTGGAACAGAGAGAGACCTGGTTTCAGACCAGCAGTGAGTGGAGCATTTGCACATAGCTTTGATATTTAAGATGTGGGCGCATTTTAGGAAATGTTTGGTCATGCTTCTGAGGCTACCAACGACCCAGTGAATTTTTTTTTTTTTAATTGTAAAGAAAGCCCTATTATGAGAAAACAAAGAACTGTTATCAAAGTTTTGAGCAAATGCCATTTGGCTCATTCCAAAAACACTACCCAGACATTTTTTCTTATTCTAGACTCAGAAGTGCCAGAAATACAGAGGCACTGGCAAGCATTCCTGACATATTAACAGTGTTACTTTTAAAGATAGTATCTTTATTTGCCCTACTTTCTGATTGAGCAGTTTGAATAGTGTTCTATTCTTAACTCCTGTACTGGGTTGGTTTGGGACCCTGACTTGGTCATTTCATCCTTGGATTTTCTGTTCTGCCTCACAGTGAAGTGGAAACGGCAGGCCCTGGCACCCTTGCACCAGCAGGCTGCGTGGGGTGCCTGTGGGGTGGCAGCTCGCATTGCTATGAGCTCTCTCACACTGGACGAGAGGCCTGTCTCTCGACCACGGTCTGTGCTGACTGATGGGAAGAGGGAAAGGCTTCGAGGGATTGCGGGAAGCACAGAGCAGTCCAGGCTTGCAGGTCTCCAGCTGCCAGGGGCTTGTGTTCATATGCTGCCCTTGCCAGAGTGGCCATGCCACCGCCCTTGTGCTGCACTGCTGCTGTGCCAGCAGGAGTGAGGCTGCAGCGGTCCCTGTCCTGGTGTCATGCTGCAACACTGGGAGCTGTCGTACAGCAGTGTTCACCCCTCCAAACAAGGTAGCTGTTCACAGTCGCATCCTGTAAAGTAGCAGGACAGGTTTCAGAATCAAGATTTGTCTCTTAAGTTGAAAAGAATTTGGCCCCAGCAGACACTTAACTGTGTTGTTCTCATTTTGACCATTTCACCACACACCAGCCCTCGGGGCCAGAAGCAGGTCTGGCACTGCTACCGTAGCACTGTTGCCACCAAATGAAAACTAAAGCTCTTTGTCAGTCTCTGATTTTTTTTGTCTTTTTCCTTTAATGGTGGAGATAAATATTGCTTCTACTATTTGCAAATCTATATTTTTATGAATTTCACTGAACCCAAAATAACTTTATTATCAAGATTTTAAAACAAATTTGTTCTTTTAAGAACTCTATTTTTTTAAAATGAAGACTGTTTTGGAATAAGTGCATTTTAAGTATTTCTCTCCAGTGCCTTGTGTTGGATTCATTTGAAGGCCGCAGGTCTAGTGTTGGTCCACCCCTGTGCTGCTGGGGGCTTGGCCTCTGCGGAGGTGTCCTTTCTGTTGTGCAAGTCACTGTGTAGAGAGGCGGAGTTGCTTATTCTCTCAGTTCACATATGTAGAATGGGATTTGCCTTCTTTGTGGCTGTGATGGGTCACACTCACAGTAATTTCTGCTGTTCAGTGTGTGTAGTTGTCATTTAGCAGTTCTGTTTCCTTGTTAGATTCATGCAATAAAGATTGTGCTGTCTCATTAGTGACATTTGTAGGGAGGAGGAGCTGGTCTCCCTGGTGAGAATGTGGGCTGGGCAGCCGTCCCTACTCCTCTTCTCCTGCCCTTAGTCTTTGTGTGTTGGTCAAGATGGCGTTCACTTACACCTATGGGGTCTTATTGTTCGTTCCTTGTTAGATTCATGCAATAAAGATTGTGCTGTCTCATTAGTGACATTTGTAGGGAGGAAGAGCTGGTCTCCCTGGTGAGAATGTGGGCTGGGCAACCGTCCCTACTCCTCTTCTCCTGCCCTTAGTCTTTGTGTGTTGGTCAAGATGGCGTTCACTTACACCTATGGGGTCTTATTGTTCAAACAGGACTTCTGAAGTGGTTTAGTCCATTTCTACCATTTACATGTGAGTAAGGTATGAGTGTAGGGACGTAGAGTTGCTGTAGCGTTTGCATCCGTGGGGGCTGGGGCGCAGGGTGGCCAGCTCCCAGGCGCAGTCTAGGGTCACTGGGGCGTGTATTCACGCCTGGCCTTTTGCTCTGAGTGCAAGTCAGTGATGACGTGTGTGCTCTCTATCTGCTTCTTGAAGGTTACAGAAATCACTTGTTCGGCACATTAAAAAATTTTTAAAAGCCTTTGAAATACCACTCTTAACCCCTCATTTATTTACGAACAATAGAGTCTTGCTATAACATGTGCCATAATTCATACCTTTATCCAAGAATGTAATTGTACCACATGCAGGGAAAAACAGAGTCCCCAGGATCCTACAGTGTTGGCGTTAGTTCTTTTCTCTGATCCCATTATTATAAAGAGGTTCTGCTGCCCGACTCTTACTTTTATTAATGTGGAAACTGTGCCTGTAATTTAGTCCTTGTGCTTGTACCTAAGATTTAAACCAGATTGGAATGAGATAATGAGACATTACTTTCTGTTCAGAAAAAAGTACCAGTTCGTTATTATTTAGATAATCTCTTCATGGGCATTTGTAAAGCAGTGAAAATTTCCCTAACTCATTTCTGAATTGTGGTAGACATTGAAAAATGTACTTTGAAGTTCTGTGTTCATGTTTTATATCTTCTAGGGGCCCAGAAGACACCTGTTTTGAGTTTGGTGTTTTTCCTGCCATCCTGAGTTTCCCACTTGATTACCCGTTAAGTCCTCCAAAGATGAGATTTACCTGTGAGATGTTTCATCCCAACAGTAAGTGCTTTTGGAAGTTTTTGTGGTAGCAGGAGAGTTATAGAGATTATATAATCATGAAAAATATGGTATATTAGTGATGTTGTAGACCTTTAAAAAATATTTCTTATGTTTTGAACTTCAACAAATTAATCATGGTGCTATTAGCACCATGATTTCAGTTTTGAAGGTCAGTTTAATGTAGATAAAAGAGAATATTAACCTGAAACTGAATGCCACTTGACCCAGGTGTCCTGCTTGAGTGGGGTTGTCAGAAAGAAGTTTTAAGCACAGGTGTGTGCTCAGAGTGGCTTACACTAGTCTTCATCACAGTGTTATTTTTAATGGTGAAAAAATTGGAGTCAATCTAGGCTTTCAACAATAGAGAATTAGTTAAGTAAATTATATATGTTAGAATGCAATATAGATATTTAAAATGATCTAAAATAATAGTTAATGACATTGAATAATATTTGTGCTATATTGACTGGGAAAACCAGGTACTAATACAAATCAGTAGGAGGTTATAATTTCATCCTTTGAAAAAACCTGCACATGTAAATATATGAGGGTATTTCAGAAAGTTCGTGGAAATATAGAATTAAAAGATGATACAAATCTTTCCATTAACTTTTTGAAGTGCCCTTGTGTGCATAACTGGAAAGGTAAGGGCAAAATTGTTAAAAGTGGTTCTCTTCCCTGATTGGGATTATTTTTTTCCTTTTTGTAAACCTTTTCTTTATCTAAAATAAAAATGTATTACTATTAAAAGAGGAAAAAAATAAGGTCATTGAAATAAATTGTACTGTACCTTATTTGAAAACGTTCAGTAGCAGGGATTGGGCTTCCTGAATAGCTGTAGTTTTCATTTCCTTCTTTTACAAATAAGGATTAAACATGAGAGAATTAACAGGGAAATGTGTTGTATTTTCAATGATTGTATTTAGAATAATGTGCCTTCTTATAAATGACTATTATTGCTATTAATAGTCATGATCTTAATAGCTATGGAGAAGAAAAGCAAGTAAGATATTCTATTTTATAAAAATGAAATATTTACTTATTTAAAACCAGTTCCTTATTCTGTTCTTTTCTATATGTCAAATAGCTAAAGGCTAATTTAACACATGAGAGAATTTATCAAATTTTCTGAGCCCCTGACTTCTCTCTTGGTCTAAAACTGAACCCATTTGGCAGAGCATACAACAGAGCCCCCCAAATTGCTCCCTGCTGCAGATGTTTTCAGGACTGCTCCACCTGTCAGGAAACGCTCTATGCGGTAGGGCTTGCTGTCCACACCCTCGTTCACAGCTGCTTGTTTACTGCTGGTGGTGGTACATGAAGGCCACATGCTTCCTCCTCAGCCTTGCCTCAGTCCTGTGTACACAGCAGGCGCTCTGAAGCATTCGTCCTTCTGAGGAGGCTGGCTGTGTAGCCATGGTTGTGAGGGCGGGTGGGGGCGTGTCTAGGGCCTGTCCTGCTGTGGTCTACCTTAGTGTGCCTTGGGGATTTTTCATTATAAAGAGTTAAAAAATATATTACTGTTGATGCATAAGAGGCAGTTGAAGAGGTTAACAGTTTCAAGTTGTTTAACCATAAAATGCAACTATGAAGTGGATTGTAGATAATTAAGATAATAAGATTGTATTGATGATAAATACACACTCTTCAGAACAGTGCCTGAGACATGGTATTAGAGACAGATACAGCCAAGAAACAGATTGAATTATGTGAATATGTACTAAAAATAAGTAGTTTGGTAATTATTTTTAATGTTCTGATATTGTGTGTGTGGCTGGTCGGTATGGGCATCTGAACCCTGGACCTTGCTGTTACAACACTTCGCTCTAGCTAACTGGCTAGCCCCTGATACTTACTTTTAATGTTCAGATAATTAATGCAAATAGTAGCAGAGAGCACTCTTGGCACCAGGTCCCATGTGTGGACTGTGGGTGGACATCCTGTAGTCCATGGCAGGGGTGCCCTGAGTCTGTTGTGGTACAGGTCCTGGGTTGCCACAGAGCGGTGACCACTGCAGTAGTGGATGAGGGAAGAAACACAGGGCCGGGTGTAAAAGAGAAGGCTGTTTGGAAGAAAGTGGTAACTACTAACATTCCTAAATTTTCATGAAATTCTGAACTCATGAATTGAATTGAATTAAGTAAATTTATTTTAAATTGTCATTTATTATAACTTTAATGGCGTTATAATTTCACAGTTGAGTCTATCAAAATGTTTTACTGGATAACTGATTATATATTGAACCATCTGAGAATTTCCCAAGTATATGTAGAAGAAAAATAACAGACATTTTTAACTGTCTTACTTTTGGGGCTGGGGGGGCTGGCTGGTGTGGGGATCCGAACCCTGGATCTTGGTGTTATCGGCCCATGCTGTAAACAAGTGAGCTGACCAGCCAACCCTCTTTTAACTTTCTTGATAGGACTGATTACATTCTGTGAATTGAAAATCCATTTGTCTTCATCAGGTATCTTGTTAATTATGGTATTTGATGGGAGAGAGATTTGGTTTAGACACATTGATCTCCAGGTAGTACTAATAATAATTTCACTCTCAGGATAAATTATCAAGAGAAATATCACTGCCTTTTTCTGGATATTTAAATAATTCCTGTTATTTTTATCTTAGCCATGTGAACATATATTTTACACAGTCCAGTTCAGGAATTTAATGGTGGAATTAGGAATTTTTAAGAAACTAGCTCTCAAAAATATTGTTAGTAATCCTTATTACATTAGATATTTTGGTGAAATATTTGCCAGGTAATCTATCATTTACTCTTTTTGGACATAATGCTTAAAAATCTCCATATAAAGGTGGAACTGTGCTGTGACTGATTGGAATGGGGCAGCAGCCTGGAGTCCTGTCAGTGCGTGAGCAGGGCCCTGCGAGGCCCAGACAAGCCCGTGGGATCCATGCGGATGGGAAATGTGACACTCAGCCCCAGCTTGTGCTCCAGCTGTACAAACAGCTCACTTTCTGTGTCTGCAGTCCTTGTTCTGTTTATCTGTGAGCCTGCCCCAGCGTGGTGTTGCCTTGGGCACCATCCCTGGGCTCACCTGGCTGCCTCTCACCTTTGCAGTCTACCCTGATGGGAGGGTCTGCATCTCCATCCTTCATGCGCCGGGTGACGACCCCATGGGCTACGAGAGCAGTGCTGAGCGGTGGAGCCCCGTGCAGAGTGTGGAGAAGATCCTGCTGTCGGTGGTGAGCATGCTGGCAGGTAAGCTGTGCCGGGCTGTCTGTGGCGCTCACCTGCGGGCACTCGGAGTTCATTCGTGTGCGCGGTGCTCATCTGGGAGGACTTGCACACGTGTGTTCAAGCATGAGCGCACTGTTCATAATTGTGAATTTTAGTGAAAGCCTAGTGCTGTCTACCCTATTGTGAATATCATAATGAACCGTTCTCTAATCCTTTGGCATTTTGTTCATCCAGTAGGCATTTATTAGGGACCTACTATATGTCACACACTAAAGATACCCCAACTTGAAGGTCCCACATTTGAGGGGATCTTTCGGAGTCCACCCACAGGTACGGTTTGATAAATCCTGAGATCAAAATACATATGGGGTTCTTGGGCCACTTCTTGAGACAGGGCTGTCTGGGATGAGTTTAAGACATGTAGGAGTTAGCAAGGTAGGAGGGAGAGAAAGGCTTTTGTGGCAAGGGAGGCAGCCCAGGCTGAGGCCCAGAGGCAGGAGGCAGCTGGTTCAGTGGGGGTGCTGCCAGCTCGTTATGGCCAGAGCCAAGTCTGGGTGGAGATGGAGGGGAGCCCTGAGGAAGCGTGTCGGCTGGGAGCCCTGGCAGACCCTGGGACTTCGAGTATTACATCGTTCATGTGATGGTATGATTGTAGGAGAAACAAAGACTTGTGGGGCAGCGTCACAGCAGCCTGGGGAGAGAAGAGAAGGGCTGGAGTGGCCCCAGGGCCAAGGATTGGGTTTGGGAGGCCTTGAAAGTACAGGCCCCAGGACTCTGGCTAATTGGCATGTGGTGACTCTTGTTCCTGGTGTGAGTGCTGGGGGGCTGTCTCTGGGGTCAGGAATACAGAGGGAGCAGGATTTGGGGAAGAGAAGAGTTTGGGATGTGGAACGAGGGGCCTCTGGCCACCCAAGGGGGCTGTTTGGGGGCCGCAGGCTGTTGGAGCTGCTCATCTGAGGGACCAGATGTGGAAGTGAAGCTGTGGGGCCATTTCTGGGTACGGCAGTGGGTGACGGTGCAGGACAGGGTGACGGCGTGGAGGGGCAGGTAGGAGGAGAGGCATCACAGAGGAGCACACAGGCATGAGCAGGTGCTGCAGAAGCAGAGGGAGCAGCATCAGAGAAAGAGTCATGCCAGCAGGCAGCCCGGAAGGTGGGTGCCCACGCAAGGCCAGTGGAGTAAAGACCAGGCGGGACGTGCGTGGGGGAAGGGCATGTGTGCCCTGAGAGGACAAGCACCGAGCCTTCTTGACTGACTGGCCGAGTAAGGATTGTGCTCACCTGCTGTGTGCTCTGGGCCAGTCCTTTGGACATTCTGACCACCACCACCTCCCCTCTGTGCACTGCCGCTCACTCATGCTGTGGCTTCAGTGGCCATAACTTGAGCCAGAGTCTGGTAGCCCTGTGCGTCTCCCTTCCTGCAGGTCCTGCTGCCCAGCTGATGGATTGGGTGGCCTGGGGTCAAGCGTCCACTGGGCAGGCATCCACCGCGGGGCTGCACAGCTGCCTAGAGCTGTACTTCTGGTAGGAGCTGAGGCGGGCTCTCTGTGAGACTGAGAAGGGACTACTACAGGGCATCTCCAGGTCCAGCAGGTCCCATGGGGGGCCACATGGTCATGTTGTTGAGGTGGTCAGTGTTTCCAGAGCAAGCCAGAAGATGATGTGCACTGGCATCTTCAGACACTCAGACTCAGGAGTTGTGGGAGTGGAGCACAAATCCCGAGGCAGGTGCTGACCCATCAGTGTTTTAATGAAGTGAAAGATTGTGCTTAGCTGCTTACTTTTAAGACTCCCTTTTATACGGAGAGTGCTTCGTTTTTCTTTCAGAGCCCAATGACGAAAGTGGCGCTAATGTGGATGCCTCCAAAATGTGGCGGGATGACCGGGAGCAGTTTTATAAGATCGCCAAGCAGATTGTACAGAAGTCTCTGGGGCTCTAAGGCCTTGCCATGCACATGTGCACAGACGTGTGCCGACACGCATGCGTGCTAACACACACCACTGATCAGGCCCAGCCTTCTCCTCTGGAGCACTTAGTGACAGCTGTCTCTGTGCTGGTAACAAAAAGACAGACTCACAGAGCCACAGCATCTGTTTTTTTCTCACCTTTCGCACCCCAAACAGGCTTCTCTTCTGAAACTATGTTTATGTAGAACAGCGACAGCTTAATGCAGTTTTGAAGTGTTCCTCACAAGGCAGAGCAGGTAGGTTGTCGAAGCTGTCACCACTACCTCTCCCAGCTCACGTGCCGCAGATTCCCTTCAGCTGTGGATTCCCTTCCTTCCTGGAGTGCTGAGGGGCTGCACATGCCAGACTCCCTAGGGTAATGGAATTCCAGCAGTGCTCCTGAAGAATCGGGCCTCCGCGAGGCACTCATAACTTCCTCTTTGATTTCATATTTTACAAGCAGGTGTTTTTCTTATAATCTAGTCACATCTTTTTCATTTGTTGTGTGTTACAAGCCATCGCACTTAGAAATACTTTCAGGAAATACTTCTTTAAAATGTGTGTTAATGAGAAATAGGATACATGGAAAAGAAGTTTATTGCTGGTTATAAAGACTGACAGTTTTTTCCTGATAATATTTATCAAAGATTTACATTTTTTTCTTAGTTACTAGTGCATTACTAGAGCTGGTACAGGTGAGATGTGTAAAGTTTCAGTGAGTTTCTTCTGAATCTACAGGAATTTTTCAGTCCAAAAACTGGGAAGCTCCAGGGTTGCATACATTGTGGTTGCACCAGGAATTTAACTATTGGCACAAAATTATTCTTTGTAACTCGAGGTTGGAAGGGAATCTACCATTAGTTAGCTCAGAGCACAGAGGTGTGCCTTATTCTTGAACTTGACCGGCACTCATGGAAGTGGGCATGTGGGGCCCGTGAGCCCCCAGGGTGGAGACAGAGCGCTGTTTTTTGACTTGTGATTTTGATGCGGTCTGGATGTTCTCTAACATGGTCAGCTGAGCAGCACAGTGCCAGGAGGTTACCTTATAAGCAATAACAGATCTGTTGCTTGCCGAATCAAATACTTGACCTGTTTCAGACAGGTTAAATTTAAATACAAATTTCTATTTTTTGAAATAAGGGATGGTCTATGAGACATGCAATAGATTTTACTTTACATGATCCTTTTTTCCTTCTCTTTCATGATGTATCCAGTGGACAGTAGTCTGTTTCGCTGAAGCTTCACATGGAGTTCCATGGTGTTAACAGCTGTTGGTTGGAGGGGCTCCGTATCGGGCTTCTGTGGGAAACAGACACTTTCCTTCTCAGAAGGGAATTATTTACAATTGAAATTCAGTTAAAGAGGGGAAGGGAGAGGACAGGCATTGTACCTAAGAAGTGTTTGCAGGCTTGTTAAAGGAGATGCAGCCTTCTCCACCGAGTGAGAAAAAGTGGTTTGTGTGGCTGGGCTGGGGCGTGGCGGCTGCATCAGCAGGTAGGCCACAGGGACTAAGTTTACCTGTCTCGTGTGAGATGTGGAGGAGGGGAAGCAGTCTCTTTACAAAACAAAGTATTTTTATTCATTTGTATTTATTAAAAAAAAAAAAAAATCCCAGGTGTCCCTATTCTGTGGTGGAATTTAATTACTGTGTTAAAAATAAAGTTATATATTTTCCCCCTATTCTGCAGTGTGTTTTTCTTTGTCAGATTTCTTATCGTCTGGAGGACTGAGGCCAGGCTGCCCACTGGGGAACAGACCAGAGGCTCTGTGCTGAGCTGCCCAGCTTGGGGCAGTGTGCTCGGGCACCGGCATTTCTTGCAGACTTATGTTAGCTCTGGAAGCTTTTATTCTCTTTATTTCTCATTTCCTTCCTCCATTCTCTCTCTGGAATGCTGAGGTTTCTTAGTCAGGGTCTGTGACAGAACATAGGAGGACCGTGAACTTGGATGTATATGTAGGAGATTGACGTGATCACTAACCTCTAACTGAAACTTAGCATTATTTTTCAATTATAAGGATAGGCAACAAGCACCATCATGGGTGGTACTGGTGGCCTGTCACCAATAGAAGCCGGAGCAGGTTCAGCTCATGTTGCATTTCTGCACAAATCTCGAGACACAGCTTACTCTCATCACTGCTTTGGAGTTAGTCATTACTGGACCTGCCTCTAAATCTTATCTCATGTGTAAAGAGAGAAGCAGGCTCCTGTTTCACAGACCTGCCGTGACTGTGGGGTAGCTGTTGCAGTCTGCCTGCCTCCTAGTCCTGTGTGTCTGACTTCATTTATTTACAGACGTCCTTTGAGTTGGGGTCCCCAGGCCTCCCCGGGTGCCAGCTCCTGGCAGGTGTGGGTCATGCACTGTGTCCTGGGCAGACACTGCAGCAGTCTTCCACAGTCCTCCAGTGGCCTTTGTTCTGCCTGTCGTCTGGTGTTTTCAGTAATCACCCTTGTTAATACATCAAGAATTCTGAGGTGATATGGAGTTGGGGGTCCCCAAGGCCACCCCAGGGTTGATGATTCACCAGGAGGACTCACCTTCGCCTGTGTACATTCTGGAGTCCTTGGGACTGCAAGGAAGGGAATTGTTTACATAGAACCACGTTGTAATCTTACGTTTTGTGAGTTCAAAACTGCAGACAGGCTCCGTGCTACACAAGCACCCATTCTGGGAACTAGTGAGGGATAAGCACATATAGCATCCCAGCATGGCAGGAGCAGCCCTCTGCCAGGAGCCCTGGCCTGGGGACTGCCTGCTGCAACGTGACATGGCTCCTCGGGCTCGTGCAGTGCCTGTCCCACCCTCACTTCCTTACACGACAGAGGACAGGACATCACCTGGAGCTTGAGTCAGCGACAGCCCTGTCTTCCTTCCTCCATTCTCTCTCCAGAATGCTGAGGTTTCTTAGTCAGGGTCTTGACAGGATGCAGGAGGACCATCTCCCAACTCCATCCTGTGCTCACACAGTTGAAAAGTTGGGTCCTTTCATTAAAGTTAACCTAGCTTCACATGAAATTATACATTTAAACAAAAAAGAAAGCTGCTGTGTGTTTGTGTTCTGCTAGCATTGATGTCTGACATCGCAGGCTCCACAAGGCGGCCTGGCTGTTGTCCCTGTGTAGATGGGAGACTCGGGAGAGGAGTGGGGAGCTTGGCCAGTGTGCCTTCCTGCCCAAGGGCAGCTTGCGGGTGAGGAAGATGTGCTGGGTTGCTGCGGAAGGAAGAGAGTGGACCCTGGAGTGGGAGCAGTGTCCAGGCTAGGGCACAGAGTCCTTTGCCGAGCTGGTGTAGAGAGATGGGTGGTCTCCCAGAGAAACTTCCAGGAGCAGGGAGGAGGGGAGGCTGCAGAGGGCTGGTCATTTTCATATGTGTGAACACAGAACAGAGACTCCTCCCTGGAGTCAGAGACGTTTCAGGGCCCTGTCACTGCCTCAGGCATCACAGGGGGAGGATCTTCTGTCGTGTGAGGAAGTGAGGGTGGGTTGGGCACTGTGTGAGCCCAGGGAGCTGTGTCAATGCATTGTGTCACGGTGCAGTGGGTGGTCCCCAGGCCTCCTGTCCCACTGACAAGGGAGGCTGGGAGGCAAGCCTTTGCCAGCAGTGGGTGAGTTAGAGGACCAGACCAGAGTGGGAGGGGGCCAGCCAGCAGGGGATGCCAGGGGCAGGTGCCTGGGAGGGGTGTGGAGTGGGGCTGGAGCAGCTGGAGCAGAAGGAGGTGTTGTACGCTGCCTGTTTGGAGCCCACCATGGCCCACTACAGGCGGCGAGGGGGGGGCCTTCCAGATCCAGGGCTACACTTGGCACCATGAGGGCCCTACTTCCTGGCTGGGGACTTTGGCAGGTGACCATCTGCCCTCCTCAGCTCAGGAGGTAACCACAGCTCTTTTTCGGACTGTCTTGATGAGTGCATTTAGTAAAAGCACTTGGAGAGGGAGATGAGTGTGTCCGTTCATCCCGGGAATGTGTGGCTGAGACCTCAAGGCCGTGAGGGTCTTTGGGCCCCGAATGTGGGGGTCCTGCTGCAGCCACAGCATTCCCAGTCCAGCAAGCATGACCGCGGGGCAAAGGAGGGGTGCAAAGGCAGACATCCTTCAAAGGGGGAGGGGCACCAGTGTGCAGCCAGGGGCAGGGACTGCGACATCTCGAGGGCCAGTAGCACTGGGGGCCTAGCTCAGCTGTGAGCCCTTAATGGAGGGCTCCATGCTAGGCAGGGGCAGAGAGCAAGCGGTGGGCTACAGAGGAGGTTAGGGCGCTAGCAAGGTGGGCTATGAACTGAGATTGCGGAAGGTGGAGAGCTGGGTGGGCAGAGTTGGGGGAGGCGGTGAGACCCCGCTGCCATGCCCCACGCAAAACCCCACAGGGTGCCAGGTGCTGGCACAGCTTGCACTTGGCCACTGGGGCAGGGCTGTGGCCAGGGAGTGTGCCCAGAGCTGTGGGTGAGGTGGTGGGCCTAGTGGTGCTGCGGTTTGGCCTGGCTCAGACCCCAGCAGCTGGGTGACCTGGGCAATCCAGGGACCCCTCTGGGCCTGTTTTCTGCTCTGTGAAGTGGGGGCAATGGCAGCAACACTCCAGCCCCACAGTGGGAGAAGTGGAGACCATGTGTGCAAGCACCTAAGCACTGGCTGGCGGGAGGGATTGCAGCCCCTGGCCGGGCAGCAGAAACCTAAGTGTGCTCAGGAGGCCGCTCCTGCCATGCCCCACCCTCCCCCCTTGGGGGGTCCAGCACATGCCCCAGCCTTGGTTGGGACATTCTGCTCTCAGCTGTTCTTGCCCTTGCATCCCCCAGGTGTAAGGAGGAGAGGGAACTCAGGGAGCGCCACGGCTGGTGGCATCGTCCTCCGGGAAGGTGACGAGCTGCTTCCCAGGCACAGCTACGGGGCCACCTGAGGCTGTGGGCAGCAGGATGTCCACAGGGGAGCTCCTCTGATGCGGGGACAGAGCTCCGCCCTAAGTGGCTTCCCTTCCAGGGAGTCTCCCGCAGGAAGGCCTGGGTGACCCCGGCTGCCCAACCCTCCCACGGCCAGGGCTGTGACACTTCCAGGCAGCTTCCACCTCAGTCCCTCAGCCTTCCAATGTGTACCTGAAGAGAATTCAGACCAGGGCACGCGTCCTCGGTCCTGTCTCTGAGGTCATGCCCAGGCAGGAGCAGTCTGCTGTGTGTGGTACACACTGACAGCACTGGCCATGGCCCCGCCTGTTCCCAGGACCCCCGTGTGCTCAACGCTGGTGGAGGAGCAGTGCAAGCAGTGGCGACAGTTCCTTTCGAGTTGCGCGTGCATGTGCGTGTGTGCAGCTTGCTGGCAG